TAATCAATGACTCTAGATTTTATTATTAGGATGAGCCATATTTAAGAAGTGTAATGATCGAATTAATCGGAGGTGCATGTCTTCAAAGAAACGGAAACCATCATTAGGAAGTGTTATGAAAGTGAATTTGGGGGCATTTTAGAAGAGATAGAACACCTTCAATATTTTAAAATCTAAATTATATTGGCCTACTCTATTAAGAATGTAAATAATTTTTTTAGGAAGTGTGATCAGTGTTAAATAATAACTAATATTAGAAGAAAGGACAAGATGACCCTTAATTATATTTTAGAAGTGAAAATATTTGATGTTTGGGGATTACATTTTATAGGATCATATATAAATTTACTAAAAACTAATTTATTTTAGGGGTAGTAGATTATCTATCAAAATGGATTGAGGCTATAGTTATACCCAAAAAATAATGTTATGATAGTCATTAAATTTTTCAAAAGGAATGTATCCTTCTCAATTCAGGGCATCTAACATAGTTATTAGTGATACAGGTAGCCAATTTTGTAACCAATGAGTTCAGACATTTTTTAAATAATATAAATTAGACATATGTTTACTACTACCTATCATCCCCAAACTAGTGGTCAACCTAAAAAATCTAAGTCTCAAAAAATTACCACTTCACAGAAATTTATTGATGTACAAAAATATGTAAGACATAACATTAATCAATTGTATTCCTAGGAATAATTCTTAAGATGTGACTAACTATGAGGGAGCCCTCTCATAGGGATACCAGACCCCATAATAAAATAAATTTTATCATGCACCCATAAAGTAAGGAAAAATCATGGTTCTGTAGATCCATGAATCATAAATATTTATATCATCGTGATTAGATTCATTCTAAGTTAATATTTCTATTTTTAGAATGATATAATATTCTTCAAATGTCCTATCTGGTCATTAATATAAAAATCTTTTGAGATCTACAGTGCCTATAATCAAAACCCACCAAGATTTTTTCTGGCGAATCCGCTATGAACGGTCCCTCTCTATCATTATTTATGTCTTAATCTTTCTTTTTTATTAGTCATATGTCTTTACTTCTTTTCAGACTTTGATCATCTACCGTTTCCATGTTGGATTATCTTTTCGTCAAATGACGACATCGGTCCATCTTTCTGATAAGTTCATTCTTAAATTCTTCAAATTTAGAAATTTGTGAGTAGGCTTTCCGTTAATATCTTTCCCTCTATCTCATTAAAGGAAGATGTCAATTCCGAAACTAATATTCTCCTTTGGAACAATACTGCAATTTAGCACTTA